ATCGTGTTTCAAAACCAATATTTTATGATTGCATATTTGTTAACTAGATAGAATAGTCGATGTAACGACAGCTTTTCCCGGGCAAAACATGTCATCAGAGCCTAGTTACGGAAATATTTTCATCGATTAAAGGAAATTTATTTTAAAATAGTAATGTGAAGGCCAGTAGGGCAAAATTGTTTTCCAAATCAATAACAGGAAGAGGAAGAAATGTTTTATCAGTGTAGTGTCAAGTATCATACGGTCAGGCATTTGTAGAAACTCCGGTGTGGCGGGGAAATAGAAAAGCGTAGTAAAACCAAATACTTATCTTTACTTATATACACTTAATACGTTACTCAAACGAAAGTTTATATAACAAATGCCAGTTTATTGTAAATTTTGTATGGTGAAGTTTAAGTGCTAGCAAAAATAAATAAAAATGCGTAAGCTTTAGCTAACTCTTTACTGTCGTATTAAGTTTAGTTCTGAAAAGTTATTTATCGTATTAAGTTAAGTTCCATTAGTGGTCGGAATTAATTTTTATTGGTTGTGCAGAATATATAGCATAACGAATAATTTAATTTTTTTTTCTATCAGAAGGAACAACCCTATTCCCTATAAGCCTAATAATTCAAATGCTAATAGGTTGAGCCGTGGTGGCTCAGGGGATAGAGCCTTCGCCTTCCAATGAGGTGCGCTGGGTTCGAATCCCAGCGATGGCTGGTTGATACGAGTTCCGCACCCGGCTCGTACATACCACAACGCTGGCGTAAAAAATCCTCAGTGATAGACGAATCATAGGTTAGAGTCCTATTTAAGTCAGGCTAACCGTGTGAGATTTTCGTGGCTTTCGCTACCATGTAACACAAATGCGGGTAAGTTCCCTCAAAAAGTCTTCCACGAAGGTAAATTTCTCCCAATACTTGATCCAGGAGTTCCCTTGTCTTCTGGATTGGGTTTAAAATTACAAGGGTACGGACTTGAACATCAGTTGCCGTAAACCCGAAACTGGGTCGGCTGTTCAACGACGGTTACAAAATAAAAATTAAAAAGTGCTGGTAAGTTTCTCTAGTTTCGATTTCTTTATCAGGAAATGATTTATATCGTGTATGAAGAGAGGTTAATTAATCTAGTGAAAGCTCATATTAATTGCTAGATTTCATCTTGACTGAAATGACTCGCTTAAATCACTTAGGTTAAGAGAGCACATAAATCTCAAACATAGATATAAGTTACTATTCTGAGCGAACGGGCGTTCATTTAATCTATCACATTTGTTTGTTTGTTCATAAGTGTGTTCTATAATTCAAATGTATTAATAAGATAGGCTACTGAGCTAGTAAACACGCAGTTTGGCAGACGTGTGAGATTAAACATGCTTCAGAAAACGTATAATTGGAAAGTAATTTAATTGGTAATTAATACAAATAGAGTTGTACGCGACTTAGGGCTAAGGAAAAGTAGATCTGAAGTAATAATTTTAAAAATAATTTTTGAGATTTAAGACTATATTTTAAAATGTTAAGCACTGAATTAGACAAGACAACAACAAGACTATACTACAGTTAGCTTTAAGTGTAAAACATACGTTTATTCTACGAAATCATAACGTAATAATAATTCTCATAAAAAATGTTACTTTTTAATGAGCATGCTGATGTTCCTCGGTTCTAAAACTGATTTTCTTAAATTCACTAAAATATACATGCACATTCTCTCCAAATTCTAATCTTTTTAATTTTGAATTTATATAAAAGTTAGTTTGAGTAATATTTCGCATACATGTTCAGAAGTTTTTTTAGAAGAAATTCGGATCCATTAACCGACCGTTTTTATCAATTTATTTTACCGTAAAAAGGAACCTTCTTAAATGAATTTATCCAAAAATAATGAACCCTTATTAAAATATTTTATCTTAAAAAGCGGTCCATTCATAATATTTTTCACTATAAAATTTGAATGTTCATAAAATTAGTTTTTTGAAAAACATAGTCTATGACGTTCATAATTTTAAAACCATAATAACTTCGATAAAAATATGGTTTTTGTATTTTTTTTCATAGGAAACAGGACCTTATTTTCACATATTCACAAAAGCGAGATTCAGGGGGAAAAATAGTTAAGAAAATATGAATAGATTGTTTCGCAAAACAGCATCTTTCACACAAATTGTCTGGAAGTATTACATTTTTGATGATTTTTCACGAAAATTGGTTATTTCACGAAAAGTTTCTATTCGGCTTGATATTACTTAATGTTACATTTTGCTTTCACCCTCTGTTAAAGCAAGAAAAGTATGTGCTGTTAACGGTAAGTCGGCAAGTACCTGAAAATAATTAATTCATTGAAATATTTCAAAATATTCTGTTTCATTATTACAGTTAAATTCAAAGACTAAATTCGCTATAGCTGCATAAACCCTTAAAAGATTCTTAACTCTTATTTTGTTTCCGATGTTTTCTCTTGATGTCTGACTCTCTGAGAATAGATTCTACCATATATATTGATTTTATCGATCTTTTTATAATTTACAGCTGTGATCTTATGGTTATTCGAAATAGTCTAGAAAAAAATATTGCATAGTTGAGAAATATGTCTTGATTCTGATGAGCAAGAGTTGATATTGACTATAATTGTTTATTCTTCCTTGTCTTTTCTTTGTTCTCCTACTTGTTGTGTTAGGTAGAAATAAAGTAGTTTTATTTTTTTCACATAATCATGTTTCATAATGAATGCTTTTTTGCCATGTAACGTACATATCATATTTCGATTATTAACTTTAAATTACAGTTTTGCTCTTATAATGAGAGATTTCAAATTTTGACGTTCTTGTTTTAAGTTTTATTGTCTGATAGATTTAATATTTTCAATTTAATCGCAGCCGTTTTTTATTTTATTTTATTACCGGCGTTGAGTTTACGACTATCAATGGGGCTTTTCGATGGAACAAACCCGCATTTGATTTACATAAAGAAGAAAACACGAAAAACTCTCACGGTTCGCCCTACGACAAGAGGATTCTAACCCACTATCCGTCTACCACTGATGATATTTTACGTTAGAACTGTGATCTGCCAATCATAGTCTGTGCGAGTTGGGAGTGAGATTCGTATTAACCAGCCACCACTGGGATTCGAACCTGGATCACCTCATTGGGGAGCGAATGCTTTATCTCCTGAACAACCGCGGCTCGTGGAACACTTTTGTAGAACCACTGACATATACCATTGCTATATATACCATCGTACGATAGTAGGATCGTTTCTCTATTTTGAGCTTCGTGAATGTGCAGCTATGAACTGATACGTTTATTTATTGAATTTTATATTAGTTTTGATGATATTGTGACACTTATCGTTACTCAATACTAAAACCGAAGAAAAAAGTCTTAATTATATTTGAAGGAGATCTCAAAGTCCTCGATCAAATAAGACTACCATGGGAAATCTCTATTGGTGAATAGTAAATTAGATACAGAGAGAGTAATTCAAATAAACAATTAATTGGTTATAATTTTGCAATGTCACCACAATCAAGAGACTAACTCGAAAACAACAATAACTTTTGGACTCATTATCTAAAACTTGACCTTTCCACAAATTTGTAACCACGAGAACCTCCCATGCTTAGCTCTAACCCATGATCTGTATACCACTGAGGATATTTCATGTCAGCACTGTCGTCTGTGTAAGCCGGATGCGAAATTCGTATTGACCAGCAGCCATCTCTGAGATTCGAACTAGGTTCACCTAATTGAAAGGCGAACACTCTGTCTCCCGAGCCGTCTCGGCTCAATCGTAGTTGTTAATGAAATACGCTTGTTGTCATAACTGCGCAGCTTCACGTGAAATTCAATTATACGAAGGTAAGTGCTGCCACCGTACATTCGAGAATAATTATAGTATAGTTCAATTAGAACATAAAAGTGGCTTAGGGGGCTAACTATTAAAGGTTTAGAGAATATTTTTTTGGTTTTTTTTTTAGTAACGCGTACTGAACGAATTTTTGTTTGGGGTAGTATAACAGCTTGCAATTCTCCTGTCATTAAACTCTTTGCATTCAACTAGCTAGTCTAACAGATTTTTATTCAATGTAATGGCTTTTTTTCTTTATATCCGATTTTGAACTACATACTCTACATACCGATTTTGAACTCATTTCTTTAAATAGCAGTGTCAAGAAATTTTAATTTTAATTATGTAAACAGCGTTCTGGGTCTCTACCCCCCCCCTCCGGGCTGCGGACATGTACCGACCTGTGAATCAAATGGTACCGGGCCAATCAAGGAACAATAAATTATTTTCGTTTTATTTACGGCGATGTGTTTCTCTCGGGTTTAAAATTTTTTCCATGGACGGGAGCTTAACACTTAAAGCCGCTCTCATACCGCGCGTGTAATTGCATTTTATTTTGAAATCGTGTTTGAATACAACAAATTAAAATTATTAAATTAAATTGTTTAAACCATCATGGTCCCCCTTTATCAGATGGTCGAATTAAATTTATCAAACGTTGACCGGTCCACGGCTATAAAAAGGTTAGGAAACTTTGTGATCTTCTTTTTTTCGAATGGCAGGCACAGAGCTTTTTTCGTTTCGCCTTAGAAGATGCCAGAGTTGTTACTCATTTCGCGTTACCCAGTGGGCACCTTGATTGTGAACCAAAGTCACGGAGGCGAGTAACATTGCTCACGCCAATCTGCCACAAACCCGTTCATAGGGTGGGCCATATTCACTCATCACACACAACAGAGGACAACACAAGACAGAGAAACATCCATGCCCAGAGCGGGATTCGAACCCACGGCCATTGGCTTCGCAGTCAGGCGCGCTAACCGCTCGGCCACCAGGCCGGCACTTTGAGATCTAAAAGACCCTTTTTTTTTTCGAAAGAAGCGACACATTTATTCTCTATAAAGGAGCCCACCTACCTCATATTTTCCTTTTATGGCAAACTTAACGATTAACTTAAAAAAAAGAAGAAGAAAATGGTATTATTCATTCTGTTTATCTTTTCAGAGTTATCCCGCGAATTAACCTGCTATCGTGATACACTTGAATTAGATTGTGGCAGCCAGAGCATCATCGGCATTCATCAAGCCTATTTCACAAGTAAGCGACAGGAGAATCATACCTGTCACCCTTCCTCCCTCATCGAACATGAACACATAGAAGATGAAGATGATGCCAAACTCATCAATCATTCCTACTGCTATGAAGATGTGCGCATTTCCATCAATAGGAGGTAAATTACTTAATAATATTGACTCAATTTTCCATTTAATTTCTTAAGAACAATAAATATCCAGCCAAAAATTCTCACGATCGAAATGCGCAAAAGAACGTATCTGTAAAAATTTAACGTCTGTATTAAATGATGCATGAATGGGAGGTTTTGTATATAAAATTGAATTAATAAAACAGACATAAATGCAAATTGAAACGAGTGAATAAACTTTGACTAAAATGTACATTCGCCCTGGTGTTGTGTTTGGAGAAAAGAATCGCCAATTGTGGTAACTCAGTCTACTATCTTTCTCTTTCACAACCTCAAATTTTCGGCAAGTTTTGAACCTATTGTCATGCGTGACTATCTAACTAAAATTATATAGAGGAACTCTAGTTTTTCTAACTGAAAGTCGGGAGTCTGTAGTTGAAATGCTCGATTCCGGACTTTCCTTAAAACTCAATTATTACTTAAGACTTGTTAGAAATTTTCCCTAAATCCCGTAAAATACTCTTATTAAATAAATATTAATTTGAACTAATATAAACAGAATTAAAGGTATTTAATATAAAATTACATTTCACATAGCAATTTTTGAATTAAATTTTACAAAATATATTTGTACAAAATATTTTAAATCAAACTATTATAATAAAAAAGCTTAACATCGATATCTCACATGTTTTGTGTGCCAAAAAGAAAACGAAATAACCTAAATAATTTTGGATCTAATGATTAGATCTTCACGTTCTGGGACTCATTCTTAATGGTTCGAGAGTGTGACCATAAATATGCTTTCTAATTAGTAAAGACGATATTTTAAGTTTCGAAAACGCACTTCCTCTGAATAAGCAGTCCTTTTCCTCCAAGAAAGGTTTCGAATTTTTTGACCAACAAAATATAGGGGGTACAAAGCTCTCGAGATGTGGTGAAAATACGCAACAAGTAAAATTAACATTAAGGGGAATCGCCTGACCAAACTATGGGGCCGTATTTCCCTGACTGCTGCCCGTTTTTTCTTTTTTTATTTGCAATGTACACTCACAAATTTATAAATATATTATTCAGAGGTCTGTCCAGACATTTTGTGAAAGGTCCGTTTTTGTAAAATTGTGACAAAATTACTCGTAATTTGTGAATATAAAATAAACGTTAAGTCGCATTCTTTCAACCAGGGTCCGCTTTTGTGAATTTGTGCAAATAGGGTCCGTTATTGCAAAAAAACTTTTTCNGGAAATCGGGAGTCTGTAGTTGAAATGCTCGATTCCAGACTTCAAAACTCAACTATTACTTAAAACTTGTTAGAAATTTTCCCTAAATCCCATAAAATACTAATATTAAATAAATATTAATTTGAAGTAATATAAACAGAATTAAAGGTATTTAATATAAAATTACATTTCACATAGCAATTTTTGAATTAAATTTTACAAAATATATTTGTACAAAATATTTTAAATCAAACTATTATAATAAAAAAGCTTAACATCGATATCTCACATGTTTTGTGCGCCAAAAAAAGAAAACGAAATCCCCTGATTAACTTTGGATCACGTTCTGGGACTCATTCTTTAATGGTTCGAGAGTGTGACCATAAATATGCTTACTAATTAGTAAAGACGATATTTTAAGTTACGAAAGCGCACTTCCTCTGAATAAACAGTCCTTTTTCCCCCCCAATAGGATTCGAATTTTTTGACCTACAAAATATAGGAGGTACAAAGCATTTTTTCCCTTCTTTTTTTATTTGCAATGTACACTCACAAATTTATAAACATATTCAGGGTCTGTCCAGACATTTTGTAAAAGGTTCGTTTTTGTAAAATTGTGAAAAAATTACGCGTAATTTGTGAATATAAAATAAACGTTAAGTCACATTCTTTCAACCAGGGTCCTGCTTTTGTGAATTTGTGCAAATAGGGTCATGTTATTGCAAAAAGAATTTTCAAGGAGTTTTTAAATTGTAAAGACATACAGATTATGCTCAAAGAAAATTAAATTTTAAAAGATAAACAGCAGTTGCAGCCACTAAATTAGAGATGCAACATACAAAAATTTGGTATGTAGCCTATACTGCTGAACGCGGAATATTCATTTCGGACGAATAAATAAAGAATCATCTGCCGAAGACAAAACATCGGTTCGTTTACATCTGTCTTTCTCCCCCCCCCCCCCAAAAAAANAACAATAATGAAGTTAAAAAAATTTGTGAAGGGTCCGTTTTTATGAAAAGATGTTTTGTGAAGGGTCCGTTGACGGACCCAAATTTCTTCTAAACAGATCCCTGTTATTCCAAAAGTATTCTTTAGGGAATATTGTGGAACTAGGCAGCTGTTTCAAATTTTGCATATAATTAATCTGCATATGCTTTTAATTAACTTTTCAAAGGAGCTAAATATATTTGATTTTAGAATTAATTTAATTTTTCAATAGCTCAATTAAACATATACTCAAAAAAGTTAAAATGAGGTAAATTTGTGTCAAGTTATAATTTTAAAAAATTTCACGATGAACTTTAGCAATGTATATGCCAATTATAATTGTTTGTCAAAATTTTATAATTAAGCAAATTAAAGTTTATTGATTTTTATATTTATTTAATCGAACCTTTTTTGTAAGAATCGATCCCTTTTTGACTGAAATTAAAACATCTGTCATGATGGATTATGAGAGTTAGAATGTATTCAAGAAAATAATATTGTTATGTATAAGCAAGACACTGAAGCATCTAATTTTACTTATATTCATTTAAATATCAAATATAACTTGCAAATTAAAATAATTAGTAATTTTTTAATGTCCAGTTAGCAAAACAAATATGTTTTTGACAAACAACAATACAAAAATACTAATTTAAAAGTATCTTAAAAAAAATAAAACAGAATGTTCCGAGATTGCATCTTGAGCGAATAAGTGTCAACTATTTTTCTGAAGAGATCTGGAAAAAAAAGGAAAGAAAAAGACGAAAGCTTCATTTTTATTTAAAAAATGACAACATAATAAGTATTTTCTGTAATTATGGTATGCAGGATAAATACCACATATATGCGCGACAGTTTGTTCCGAACCAGTTCAGGATTTTTAAATTTATTTTTTACATAAAATTACTAATATGGGTTAAAGGATGTCTGGAAATGATTTTAAAGTCAAAGGATTAAAAGACTCTTATTGGATTTCAGCCAATACAAAATCTTTTTGTTGCATTGTTATATTTATTTTTGAGAGTTGGAAAAGGTTCAAATTATGTCATGACACAATAGAAGTAGTGAAATCGTACAACAGTGTTCGTCCATGACTCCCTCTACTACTTCCCAGTTACAACCTTATTTTGATCAGTTTATTTCTTCTTTTAATGAAGAATTGGTGTCAAATGTTATCTAAGATCTAATAACGTAACTACCCATTAGCAGAATTTTCGGAGTGAATCTGCAGCACTAGCTTCAAAATCCAGATTTATCTAGCAGGATATAATCTAGCAGGATCTAGGCAGAATATAATTGTCAAAATTCAGCTTTATCAGCAAATAGTAAAATTTGCATTTATAAGATCCTTAAAAATCACCCCTTGGCAGAATTTTTTTCGAGCTTTCTGTGACAATTCTCTCTAGTACTAATAACCCTTCTGAACGACATTTTTAATTGTAACAAATATATGTGTTATTAATTTAAAGTAACAGAAGCGCTTTCTTAAAATTGATTTACAAAAAAAGCCCTAATTTTTAGAATAGAACAGTTTATAATTTTTTTAATTACAAAAGTAATTTTTTTTAAAAAATTTAAATATAAAAGAATACATATTCTAATATTATTGGCGCGATATTCTACTGAGAAATATTTGTATAGTTAACTTTTTTTTAAATACTATTTGCTTTTTGGAAATTACTTTTTATAATATCAATTTTAAATTCCAGCTAATGCCAGTCATTGCGGAAATTTTTGATTCTCAAAAGAAAGTAGGAAAAAAAATCATGAGTGTTTATTCCACCTCCAATATGCGAGAAAGGCATTTTTTGAATATAATTCTGCAGAGAGGGTAAAAAGTTTTGTTGAAAAGAGGGGAAAAAATATTTTGAAAAATTTTGCAGATAAAAAAAATCTACCTTTTTGCTTCCCAAATAAAAAAATAATTTTGCAAGAACTTTGTAATGTAATTTGAGTTTTATACAATGATTAGTATCATTGTATCAGTATGAGTCTCTGTAATCAAGTAACAGAAAAAAATCTTTACTTTTTGTTCTTTACTTTTTTCTCTCAATTCTGCCTTATAATTTTTGTCGGAAACTAACTGAAAGATGTTAAAAAAGGAGTCTCGACAATTTCCCCCCTCTTGTTTGTTTTTTTAAAATTAAAAACTAACGAAAAATAATCCCTTAGCACCTGCTACAGTGCTGGATGTTTTCTCCTACCAGGATAAATACTAACAAGAACAAATATAGATCTTTGTGTAAGAACATCTTTAGTACAATTTTGGAAACACTAAGATTTCAAGATATAAACATACTTATGTAGATGTCGGATTACTAAGTTTCCTGACATTTTTGTGAATCTATAATAATATCTCCCTAAACATTTTATATCGTTGAACAGCCGACCCAATTGTGGGTTTACGACTGCCTATGTTCAACTCCTTAGCCTTGAAATTTCGAGCCCAATGCAGACGACAAGACAACTCCTTGATCAAGCATTGGGTAAAATAACCTTCGTGGAGAACTTTTTGATGAAACTAACTAATCCGCATTTGCGGATTAGTTTCATCCAAAAGTTCGGAGGAAAAAAGAAGAGGAGCGCGAAAACTTCCCACAGTTAGCCTGGCGACAAGGACTCTAACCCATGATACGTCTACCACTGAGGATATTTTACGTCAGCATTGTGGTCAGTTGAAACCGGATGCAGAATTCGAATCGACCAGTCATCACTGGGATTCGAACCCGGTTCACCTAATAGGAAGGCGAACGCTACCTCCATGAACATTTTAGCGAATCAGTAGGGGAGAGTGGGGTCAATTGTAACATTTTTTAC